GGCCTCCTTCTGGACCTCTGCAGGGCCTTCATGAAGGTGGGGAAGTGCTCGGCGCTGGTGGGGGTCAGAGCGAGACTCATGACCGGGTCGGGAACCTGAGGGACGAGGGGGAGGGGGGGGAGATGGGGGGGGAGAGGGGAGATGGGGGAAAGACGAACCACACGCGATTGAAGCTGCTGCCAGGGGAGATGGGGGGGGGAGGGGAGATGGGGGGGAGGAGGGAAGGGGAAAAGAAGAGGGGAGGGGATCATCGCATATGAGGGGGAGAAAAGGATGGGGGGAGGGGGCCAAACCCTAAGCCCAAAGTATGTACAACACGGGGAGACGACGACCCCCCACGGGGGCCTTATTTACGATCAACTGAACTTGCGTAGGGGAGAGGAGCGGGAGAGACAGGAGGGAAAATACGACACCAATACGACATCCCAAGAAGAAAACCCAACCATAAAACCCCCCATCCTTCCCTCCCTCCCCCTCACCGCTCATCCCCTCACTCGCTTCCCCCCATTTCCCTCCCAATCTCCCCTCACAAAAATCCCTTCCCCCCTCCACCTCCCCCCACCCCACCCCCGCCAAACCCCCCTCACCCTGATTGACGTCATGGCCAGCTTCACCCCGTCCGTGAGCGTGTCCCCGCTGGCGCAGTCCATTCCAAACACAGCCACGATGTCCCCCGCAGCCGCCTGGCCAATGTCCTCCATCTCATTGGCGTGCATGCGGACGAGGCGGGGGACGCGGACCTGGAGGCGTTACGTTCAGGGTTTTAAAGTTAGGGTTTCAGGGTTTTAGAGGTACGGGTTTTACAAAGTTTCAGGGTTTTAGCACATGAAAGCACGTGGGTACATCAGCTCCGGGCGGGCGTGCACCTGCCTTCTTGTTGGAGCTCATGTTGACGACCGAATCACCCTTGCGCAGGGTGCCGCTGTAGATCCGTACGTACGTCAGTTGGCCGTACTTGCCCTCTTCCAATTTGAACGCAAGGCCCACGAAGGGGCCCCCGGGGGCACAGGGCAGCACCAGCCGCTGCTCGTCCCGGGCGAGATCCAGGGCCTTGCAAAGGAATGGTGGCGGGGATAGTGGGGGGAGGGGGCCAGGGGGGGAGAAAAACACGTAGGGGAGGGGAGGGGGCAACGGGGGGTCAGACCGAAATCCCTGCAACAACAACGGTAACAACAGTACACTCCAACTGTTAGCACTCAAGTGACTCCGCCTCCTTCCACTCTTTAACGAAACACACACACACGCATACACACACGCACTTCTACACATTTACCCGCACACGCACCTCATTGACCACCTCCGTTGGACATGGCAGGTAGTCGAGTACACCGTCAAGCAGCAGCTGAACACCTGAAGGCGGGGAGGGAGGAGGGGAGGACCATCTTGTGCAGATGCTGCTTCTGCTGCTTGTGTCTCACTCGTCTTACCCTCCTCCCCGTTTTTCAATCGTCTGTGCTTCGTCGTATCCCCC